GGGGGCAATAGCTTTATCTAGCCTGGAGTTCGTTTGTGGTTAGTTATATGTAATTCTACTTACGTTAATTCTAATTTTGCGATGGCGTTACTTGAGAATTTCAATTTTATTTTAGGAAAATTATTTAAACTGATTATATATTTTAATCGTAATAATTTCGCTATTCTGATAGTAAATGCAGGAGAAATGCAGTTCTTATGCCTACCAAAAGAAAAGAAAAGATGTTTTAGCCCTGGCGAAGTGGGACTAGATAACGGTTTGTCACTGCATGTGGACCTCAAATTGTCAAGTGGTTAAGTGAGTTCTTACGAAATATGTTTTGTTTTTTTTCAGATTAAGGTCCTAATACGCTTATACGTAAGCGATGACTTATGATGTTGCTAGTCAGCGAACTTTATAGTGTTTTTAGAAAGCGATACTCGGATGCCAGGGAAAACGTTCACGGCAATTTTACGAGTGCAAACCTGTGTTGATTTTTGAGTTTTGAGAACTGTACAGTAGGTCCATTTGTATACTTCTTATTTCTTATCTGAGGAAGGTCTCATCGACACTCGCCCCACCGAAAGTAGACTGTGAGCCAGTTAAATACGGGCGCCTGCCGAAGTGATGTGGTGGATTTCAAAAGGAACTGAAGAGTGCTTCCAGCAACCTTTGATTAGATCCATCCTCGACGTGTTTTCGTAGACGGGTCCGAGTTGGCGTGATTGGTCCAATGCAACAAGTGGATGTCCAGATTCGACGACGCGGAGTCAGGTGGAAGGAAGTCGCTGACCGTGGGAACTGATCGACAGGTGCTGACCCCTGAAAGCAACGCCACTTCATTAGCATTAATTGAATTGCATCTTCCTTTTTATGGCTCCATTTCCTTGCCCCAGGGTCCTAAGACTGTACCAGCACAAAAAAGCCTCGACGGCCGATGCCATGTTCATTGCACTGCTCGCTGTTTATGATTTATTTTTCGTGTGGACGCCTTAGCTGCTGAGCGTTGAGTGTCCCAGAGCCACAGTGTGGAATAGCATCGACTGCTTTTAATAACGACGGGTGGAGGGAAAGGGAGAGTTTATCACCCTTTATTTGGTCACCCTAATAAAACTCGGTCGAGTGCTCGTTATGAAATTTCTCATTTTGTAATTGTCTCCATTCCCCACGGCTTCTTTCCATTTCACTCTCATTTTCTTCGCCGTCAATCTAAGTTTTCCTCTCAATTTGCATGACCAAGTTTGACACCCGTATAAAATATCAGGTAAAAATATAGTTTTCTAAATTTAAAGGTTTAGACGTTAAGGCGTGGGATTGGAAGTCAGAGCATTCTTAACTGAATGGTTTTAAGCAATTCTCCAGTGTAATCTGCTTTTAACTCCTACCTGTTTGTTAGTGTGACTTCGCTGTGTTGCTGACTTTGCCAAAAGTAATAATTTCGTCGCGATTTTAAAGGATTTGTTAGCTAGCTTTATATTTCTCTCATTAAATTAAGCGTTCGTCGAAATTGGATCCTTCATAAACGTTTGAAATTTATAGATCAATTTTAAGAACATGTTTTTCAAGCACCCACGTAAAGATTTTGTGATTAGGTTTTGAAGGCTGTGAGACGCACAATATTTCGGCTGCCTTCACAGCTTGGGGCCAGAAATGTGGAAAGGCGTTGACATCTGTCACAAACACAATTAGTTTCTTTCTGTAGACTGTAAAAGTCACACCTTGATCGCTCATTAAGCGTACCTTAAACTCAAGGGCACGTGTGACAGCTTTACGCATATTTTAATTAGGGAACACATTTAGCATGCTTTCTCCTAGGTCGATAATGGAGGCAGTAAGCACCTCTGAAACGTCTGAAAAATTCCATCGTATTTCACAGGAAGACAGCTTTCTTCGTATACTTCACAGTGAGAACCTGAATTCTAGCCTAAGATAAATTATGTATTTTATTTTATTTTATTTATTTATTTATTTTTTTGTGTTGGTCGTGGTATTGTTGGGGATAGTCATCGATATTTGACTCATTTAAAATCTCGGAATATCAGTTTACGTGACGGTTTGTTGTATGAGGGTTATTTTTGTGTTTCAACACAAGTCGGAGCGTTAGGATGTTCTCGACACACACA